AAAGCAAGGTTAAATGAATGGAAGCTGATGTTAATGTTAAACGGGTATGCGAGAAGGTGCGAGATATTTGTATGCAGAAGTATGTGAATGATTGGTATGATTTATTACACAAGCCAAGCGGTAGAACGGGAGGTAATAAATTACGAACGTATCGAATGTTTAAGGATGTGTATGGCTGTGAAAGCCTTCTCCAAATTCAGATCAGGTACTGCTCCTCTGCATTTGGAAACCGGCAGATATACAAATGTGAATGTGAATGAGAGGGTATGTTTTCAGTGCAGTGAGAGTGTTGAGGATGAAAGACACGTTCTGTTGTATTGCCCTATGTATGATGATTTGCGTGAAAGTTTATATGAAAATGTCTGTTTTAGCTATCCCAACTTCTTAGATCTTTGTGATGATGATAAGTTAGTTTTACTTTTTAAACACCATGTATATTTCAGTGCCAAAACCTGCTTTTATATCTTGCAAAGAAGAAAACATATTTTATACGGATAGATTTTACATTGTATGTACCTATATAATTATTTATTATTTAGTATTTATAATGTTTTAATACATTAGTCTCTCATAACCCTTAAAGGGTGGCTCACTTATATGCTATATTTTTAAAATATATTTATATATGTATTTTATGTGAGGTGAGACTGAAATAAAATATCTGTCTGTCTGTCTGTCTGAAATATGTATTGAACAATGAAAAACCTCACGTAAGACCTAACTGACAAAATGCTGCTGGTCATTGATTGTTTATGAAGACAATATTGATTTCTCCTTATTTATGAGGGGAGTTCATAATCGTGCATCAAATATACATGTACTGTAGGGAACATAAATCATGAAGGTACACTTTTATTGTTTAATTTCTATGTGAGCCATTAAGCATCTTCAAGTATGTTAATAAAATTCACATTCTTTAAAAATGTTTTCCCGTATCTAAATATTGATGACTGCCTATATATAATTCAATTTGAACAATGTTGGACAAATCCATTTCACGGACAGGAGAGTGTATTTGGTATTTCCTTAATAGTCTAAACAAACCCCCATCGAAACAAAGAAAAGAGAGTTCTCAAACGTATTCACATCTCATTCTATAAACTAGCGTCTTTCAGTTTATGACGTCATCAAGTTGTAAGCGCATGTACCAATCTCCAGAGATAGAGCTATGTTTCATTGTGGTATACACCACGCATCGCCATTCATTGTTCTTTTCTGTTTTTCGCTATGTTATATATGACAGTAGTATCTACTCGGATGGTGTGGAATGACATCACGTAGGGGGATGACGTTGTATTGTAGTAGCGTACCACACGCAACATAAGGTGCAGCTCCCATCGATAATTATGACACGAGTAATCGTACAGGGGAGACTTTGGACTCGGCTAATGGGTTGTCTCAACACTTATTGACATCACAATGTATCAACATCATACCTTGAATTAATCGATTATCACAGTAACAACATCTTTGTCAGCAACTACATCTTTAGTGACACGTAGAAATAGGGAAGTGATGACACTTTCAGTAACTATGTCTTCATTGTATGTGGGAAGGTTTGTCTGCCCTTTTCCTTAAGATCTCTTATGAGCTTCTATAGCTCCTCTGTTGCATTTGTTGCCCGTGAAGGTCCGGGTTAGAATATTGGCCTTCAGTAACCCATGCTTGTCGTAAGAGGCAACGCTCGCTGGTGGTCACGCTCGCTGACTTTGTTGACATACATGTCATCGGTTCCCAACTGCGCAGATCGATGCTCATGCTGTTGATCACTGGATTGTCTGGTCCAGACTCGATTATTTACAGACCGCCGCAATATAGCTGGAATATTGCTGAGTGCGGCGTAAAACCAAACTCATTTGCTCACTGTAGCATTTGTTGGGAAGAGGCTATATCTTTCAAATTTGAATAAGCTCCCTACATGGTTCGTCTGTCCCAGGAGCGTGTTCTTGCTGTTATGTACAGGACACGCACATTAATACCAGACACCTGTGTGTCCCATATATTCATGGAGTGGCAACAGGGTGATACGTTAATGCCAGATCTTTCATGTCACCGCACAAGAAACACGATTAAATCAAAACTGGATTAGGATTAAAATTGCGGTCGACTTAGAGAATTTCTATTGTTTTATCAAATACAGATTATCACTGTTGTTCGAAGTAAGTACAATATTGATCCAATTACACTTTGCTTTTTCTGTCTAATTAAGATTCGGTTGTAACAATGTGCGTTATTCCTTTACGGCGAGGAATATCGACACTGGCCTATGTAAACATACATGTCCGTCATGGTCTAGATTCAAGGCGACAAAGATGGCGACAAGAACGGCATTCCTGTATGCGGCAAATGCCAATTTCACAGCTGGCTTAATTTGAATCGCTTAAACTTGATTTGGATTTAATTACATAAACAACCTTCCGCCATAAGGATGATGACCTTGCACGCTTATGGGCTGATACCGGGTGTCTTGTAAGAAAAGATTCATCTACATGCTGTTTGCGGTGTTTAAACACAAGTGACAGTCTTATTAACTTGTAGTCATCTCCTTTATTTCCGTTGAAAACTTTCAACTTAGAAATGACGATGCATGAGGTACGCTGGGCATGTTTTCATAGGTATATGGTCAATGACAACAAGACTGAAGGGACTCTTCTAATATTATCTGTCATTATGTCTGTCGGGGCATAATGGAAATTTGTCTCCAGTCTCTGTGAAGTATACACCAATAACGTTGGCTACACTGTGAAGTGAAAAGTGAGTGAAATCACATTAAAGTTCACAAGACATGGACTGAAGAATAACTGTGCTAGATGTTTAGCAAGTGGTGATAATACGAGCCTGTATGTGGTACACTATGTGACAATCACAACCACATTCCGAGTTCAACTTCCACCTTATTACCCACTACATGTTACATGCCGAATGTCATACACTTCAAAAGTCTCCGTTACAAGTTACACGTGTTTCTCTTCATCATGCCAGCTTCTAAATGCCACTTAAAGACACAATACGACGTATACTACTCGGTATATTGAGCGAATAGTTATTACATGTTAATGTTCGCACCGTTCTCTGTTAATCATGAAGTCTTCTAATTAGGAAACGGTTTCCAAGTCCCAGCTAAAAAACATATCCCTTCCGACAGTCATACCTGGACTAAAGTCTACTGCCATGTGATTGTGTCCCCAATGACAGAGTTTAAATTGATACCGTAGTATATTCGTAGCGCTATGAGCATAGTGTAGTGTATGGAGTTGGCGCCATATAAATGGACTCATTATTATATGCACATCCATCCATTCCACTGAATCTGTCAACAAATACAACTTAGCAAACACAGATGTAAATAATTCAACTACGCTGCCAGTTGTTCGAGGATGTGATATCTTAATTGTTTCTGCTCGAGATTGTCCAGGTACGGGCCACTAAAAGTTAATTGAGAAACTTGTTTGTACAGAAACTACATCTGTATGAAAATGCATGGCGAGGGACCTTTGAGTCATTATCTTGATTATCTTGATTATCTTACAAACAATGCCATAATCTGCCATATCCTGATTGTACTACGGTAGACGCAGCAGGGTGATTGCGTGCCAGTGTACATGCGTGCGTCAATGTGGTTGATAGGTGTGGTTGCGTGTGCTGTTGTAACTTTTGTGTGATTATAATATGTTATCATTCTGTGTTTTATTTGAATTCTCTTACTTTATTGTATTACTGTGATATTTTGTGTCTCATAGGCCATATGGTCGAGTGGTTTGTTATATTTATTGTATGTATTCATTGTATTGTATTCTATTGTAAAAGCACGTGACACTTTAATAAACATTTTCTCTCTGACCAAGCTGCTTCACACCACAACCAGGACTATTTCAGATGTATCGATCTCGTGGCTCCCAGCAAACTGTTACAAACTGTTCAACTGGATATTCTAAAAGGCCTGAATTTAACTTAGCCATTGGTTGTGATAAGGTTGAAACTACCAATGTATACAGTATTTAGTATTTAGAGGTCAGATAACATGGAAATACACCTCTAAAATACACAGATAAACCTTCAAATAGCACATTTGCATAAGCATAAAACAATGTTTAATACTTGAATGAAAAGCTTTTTTTGCCCTCCAGGGTGTTGGGATATCAGTTGTATTGATGCTCAGTAGAACCCATCTAAGTTGGCGCTAGTAAAACCCCAAGTTGAGCTGGCCATGGTGACATGGGCTGGATGTCCCGATTAACTTAACTTTGACCAAAAATTATTCATACCTCATACATACACGGCCCTCCAGTTCTCTGCTTGAAGGTTTATTATCCATACAATTGTACTTTCAGGTAGGAATGTGTAAACTTTGTAAAGCACTGTCGACGATGAACTACCTGTCCAATCAGACTGTAGTCTTCACTCGTCTGGTTAGATGTATAACGTGTTGGAACTGGTATCTCTGTTCTACGCTTTACGCTGATGTAAGATGGCCAAAGCACATTTGTAAACGCAATGACAGGCGTGTTAAACCAATAGCCATGTTATTATTACAAATGTTCAACCAAGGAAAGTAAATCTTGAGCTACCTACACTGTGAAAACTCTCTTAACCATCACATTGATCTTGCACTACTGTGTTTTAAGCACCTGTAGATCCAGATCAACGTGTGGTCTGCGTATATGCTATGTTGTTTTGCCGTTGATGTAATGTAAATTCATATGTATTATTATAATGACGTACTTGTCCATCAGACAATGGTGATATCAATAGAAACAAATGTAGTATATTCACACAAGTTTTATTAACATTTAAATAAATAAGCTAGAATACATACACAATACAAAGCATGGTTACAAGCGTCTACCCACCTGTAATTAAGACAAGACAGATATCCATATTGTGCCATGAAACCAAGCGTAGTTTGCATTGTCATAAACAGAGCTTCCACTCCCAGTTGGAACACTCTCAGCAGCACTTTGGTTTGCCCATTTGTACACTTCAGTACTACATCACAAGCGTTACATAAAGTTAGTGTATTGGTTTCCCAAAGGTTGAATGGACTTTGTAGCACTGGGGAGTGATTGCTGTACTCGCTGGTACAGAGAGTCATAAGGATTTCTAGATCTCTCAAAGCTGGACGATGAAACTTGAGGCATATAGGTCCCACTCAGGGACGAGCTTCCCGGCGGAGAGCTGGAGAGAGGGGAGCCGGTTAGAGAGCTGTTGATGCTGCTGGGGTTGTAGTAGCCGGCTGGTGAAGAGTAGACTGTAGGAGATCCCATGGTCCAAGTACTGGAATCAGGCTTGCTCGATGTGCTGTAGGGGTGTGTCTGGGTCAGCCCCTGGGGTAAGGAGCCGAGACTGAGGGGGTTGAAACCTGTGTAAGGTGATGGACCCCCATACAATCCGAATAACTGTCCATAAGAACTGGCAGGATGGAATGGAAGATCATCACGACGTTGCTTTTGTGCCGACTTGAAACGTTTGGAACGACGAAGGAAACTACCGTTACCGAACATGTCCCCACAAGATGGATGCAGAGCCCACAGGTTACCCTTGCCTGGTTTCCCTGGAGGTCGGGGCACCTTGACGAAACAATCATTGAGGGAGAGGTTGTGTCTGATGGAGTTCTGCCATCTCCGTTGGTTGTCTTGGTAGTAGGGAAATCTCTTGATGATGTAGTTGTAGATGTCGTTGAGAGTCATCATGCCTGTAGTGGAACTCTCGACGGCCATGGTGATGAGAGCCACGTATGAATAGGGAGGCTTCTTGTTGGAAAATTGTCTGCTTTGCTGGGACAGAGTTGACGTTCCTGAGACAGTGCCTAGACTTGTGTCTTCTTCCCCATCGTTGTCGGAGCTCAAGGAGGAAGATGGTGATGGCAAGGTGATGTGGTCGTTGTCTGGAGAATGTTGCTGTTGAAGGGGGTCCCTCATGTCTATAGGAGAGAGTTCAGACCTGACGTCGGGTTCACGTACACCAAACTTGGACGAAGTAGGGTGATGTTGTGTTGCATATAGCGGTGCCATCGTCATAGCCGTTGATGGGTCAGCAACAGCACCTTCATACTGAAGCGTTGTTGGATTAAACAGCATTTTGTATTCTCAGAGAATCCTGTATACTGTACTCGAGCAGCAGTGAGACTATACCTTCATACTGGTCCGGGGAGTATATATCCCTGTAATAATCCTCCACAAAAACATCTTACAATTCCAATTTGTTCCCAGAGAGCAACTCTATTGTTAGGTAATTGTACCCCCGGGAATTACCGGAGGTCCGGCCAGTGTAAATGTAGCATAGATGCTATTGGCTACTTGTAAACAGAGGTCCCGCCTACGTGTTTAGACACCAATCACATTGGTAGTGTAAGCTCTCGCCTGACGCTGGATGCAATGAGAAATGCCTACCTGATTGTGAAATATTTTAGCTAAATATTTCTTATTTCTTCATAAGCCGAATAAACTATCATTTGTGCTCAGTGTCTTTCTCTACAATAGAATTTTGAGCACAATGCAACACTTCTAATTACAAACGTACACATTTAGAGAAAGGCTTATTAGTCCGTTATTCATTGATGTAGTGAAACCCGTATCCATAGGGTTCCGGTAGCCTGAGGGTTATCTTGTACATGTCAACTTCTAAAGCTTAAGTCAACATTGATGTCATAACCCTGTAAAACAGACGACATTTTAACAAATCTATCTAAATCATAAAGTTTTATCCGAGGGTAAAAACGGAAATGATCGCCTTCAAAATATTAAAATATGTCCACATGTATATTTAGATCCACATCAATCTTCTCAGTGTATCATATTTGCAGTCGTTCTGTATATTGAAATGTTAATGTCATGAATGCTAAAAAAGGACATATCACAGTCCACTATGAGTGAAGGGCTGAGTAGGCCACACTTGTTGTCAAAGGTTGTGCATATACTGAGTGACGACTACATGCTTGTACATACTGAACCTAGCGATACCTGGCGACACATTCAGGGTGACAGACTGTTAGTAACGTGTTGTACTGGCGTTGTAAGGGAAAGGTCACATGCTGAAATAACCATCACATGTCGAAAACACCATGGGTCCTGGAAATAGTAATCGAAGACATACAGCTTCTTTAAAAAAGTTTCAACACTTACTGACTTGAGAACAGAGCAGTATCAATTATGACTGAAATAACATCCAATCTGCTCCAGCAGCCGAGTGGCATCAGCATCCTGTAAACATACTTACATACAATATACATACACCGGAGAAATGGGCAGGATTGTAATGAATAACTAAACAGGCACGTATTCGTGCTAACTGATATAGGTGTTGCTCAATTTTTCATTTGTTACAACATATTTTGTGTTTGTAGTAGTTAACCGAATATTGACAATTATTTCTTTTGAATTGAATTCTCTTGAATCTGTTTGTGTACCTGTATTGATTATATGCACGAAGAGTATGTTTTTAGACTGAACAGTGACAATATGGTGAAATGCTCAGACAATACTGATATGACATGTTCATTAAGGATGACACAAGTAATCGTATCGGCCAGTCTTAATGACTCGTTTAGTGAGTTGTTTCTACACTTATTGACTTCACAATAAACATACAAAATCACACTTCTCGGGTTGTCAGTATCGATCATTACAGAAACAACATCTAATCACTGCCAGCAGCTCTTTCAACTAAACGTAGACCACTTCATCTAACAATTAGGCTGTGCAAACTGTGAAACTGCCCATTGTGACAGTGTATACAAGAAACGGAATTTTTCAATTCCGCTTTTTGCACATATGTAAAATATGAGCTAGAGTGACACTCCTTTATTTAAAGGTTTATTTAATTCATTTTTTATATCCAAGTAATTTTAAAGTAGGAGATAGAATTACATGTAGTAATGAAAAATCGTTACAGTTCTAACATTTACCAGATATTTTCTAAAATATGGATTGCATCTTTGGAGCACATACATGCATAATTTCACACCTCAGTGTGGTACAGATAATTTGTGAAACTGAAATACCAGTTGTTGAAATATTGTGATAAAGGTGACAAAATACATGTGGGTGTCATCTAATGCTGTTCATTACACTGGGTTTAACGATCTGTAAGAGTTGTTCGTGAACATGTTAAATAAACACCACAGGCTTTTGATGTACCCGCACAGGTAACAGGATTTAAAAGAAACTGGATTAAGATTCGAACGTCGTGGGACATAAAAACCTTTTGTTTTATCACAGATTATTATTGTTGTTCATAGCAAGTACAATATTGATGCAGTTACTGTTTGTTTGCGCTTCCTAATACACCGTCAGTTGCACCGCCGCCCTTTTGTTAATCGGCTTCTAACGAATGACTTTAAAATGGATTACTGTAAAACTGCTTTCCTTCCTTTCTGTCGTCCCTATATGAGAATCAGTGTAAGTAGGGAGGCGACAGTAGCGGGTAACTATGTAGACGCCAGAATCCTATATCACAGAGACGAAGACTTATTTTTTTCTTTTTTAAACAGTATTTTATTTCCCGAAAGACATGTAATATACATTAAACATGAATAAATTACAAAGGAAAATGGATTGGCAGACAGGCTGCATCCGTCTATGTAAATGGTTCTCCGGACGGAGACAGAGACTTAAATCTGTTTATATCCAATGGAAATGTTTCCAAGTCGGACGTACCATGAATGGGAATGTTTGTGGGTGAGGTAGTAGGCCAGTTGCCTGACTACGTTCTTTCTGGAATCAGAAACAAATCCGAAGAACTCTCTAGTACAGTAGGACATTTTAACAAATCAAACGTAAAAACAACTCAGCGTTGAATGTCATCCCATTTTAATAACCGAATTATAAGAAGCCAAAAGGCAAACTTCGAATGAACGTAATTTGGTTTCCAATTTCATATATGCATCAACTGTGAAAGAGACCAGCGAGAACTTGGAAATCCGAGGATGAGCGTAGTCCATGCCAAATATCGATATCGCCACTCTCGTTTAGACGTTCATTTACATGTTCACCTGTACCTAGCATGACCATATTTTAATCACATATTGCGAATGATTACATTCTACCATAACCCATACATAACAGCACACGCACTGATGAATCGGATCATCATACTACTATTATCAGAAAAAAACAACTCAATAAAACCTACTTAACACGAATTGGGGAAACTACAAAAGAGAGTGTTTGGAAGACATTCAAGGAACTAATTATACATCTCACCTGCCATAATTTTACAGACATCGTTCTAATCCAGATTTTGAATGCCATTTAACTTGATGTACCTGTAGTTCTGAAATATCCATGGCTTGTCATTAAATTAGTACAGATTAGGACGATATGCCCCAACTGTCATTGAAGTATATGAAATTTGACTGAAATCCTTTTCCCGTAAGAAACATTGAAAATAATTGAATCCTCTATGTTAGATGCCTGCATGTATATTACCACTACCTGCACATAGTTGAGACTCTAATGTTAGATGTCTGCATGTATATTACCACTACCTGCACATAGTTGAGACTCTAATGTTAGATGTCTGCATGTATATTACCACTACCTGCACATAGTTGAGACTCTAATGTATGTGAATGTTTTATATATAGTTATCGCAGTCATTGGATTAGCTCTTGGTGACACTGACCTCAAAGTACTGACATCCTCGGAAAGAATGTCTGGTCGCATATTTTAGACTTAAGGACTGAAGAATTGTAAGACGGACGTCACTCATAGGTTTGAGATAGCTAGAATAATGTAAGCCGGTCAAGCCCAAGTAATAGCCTGTGACCAGTCACAGCAAGTCTATTGTTGAGAGCTAATGTCTTGTGCAAATATTGAATCAGCTAGAGGTAGCCACGTAACAATCGCCAGGTGGCACTTCTGCAGATTCCTTCCCTGATTCCAAGTCATGATCAACTCTCGACGACCATGGCGATGAGAGCCACATAGGAATAGTGAAAACTGTTTGTTTTGTTTGGAGATAGTTGACGTTCCTGAGACACCATCAGGAGGACTAAAACCTTCCTCATCGTCGTTGTCGGAGCTCAGCGAAGATGAAGGAAAAGAGAATGCCTCAATCAGGTTGCTTGAAGGTTCCTGTTCAAACTTACATACGTTGTTATTATTGCTGCTGAATGCAACCCCGAATTATCTTCTGCTACAAATGACGTCTGCCACTAGCCGTGTATTGTACAGAGTCAGGGATCAGAAGGTGCATGTACAGTGTACGGTAGTGGCAGGTGTTTTGTCGTGACCAGTGTATACAGTCTATCAGTGTTGTTAAGTGGAAACATATATGTAAAATAACAACATGACGGAGTCCCAGGAGACATTGGACGCTGAGACTTGCTTGCAGTCATGATTTCTACAGAGGGAAATATACTGTAACTGAGATTATCCTCTGATGACACATCACATACATTCAATGTACCCTTGACTTGGCTTGATGAGACTGAAGTGGCCGCCAGGCACACAGTTAGAGGTTGGGGCTTGCTAATCCAGAATAAATGTCGGACCGGGATCAGTCGGCTGTTCCTCCAAAATCTACAGTCAAGTGGTTAATATCAGCGACTAAAGTCTTCAACGCATTTGTACAATAAGGACACACTCTTTATCTAACAGTTTAAGTCATAACGTAGTTATTTTTACATATATTTAAACATCAAATTCAGACGAAGTATTTAGCCTTGATTTCCTTCCCGAATTGAAACATGTCACCATGACGATCAGTGCCACACACAACATATTAAAATCTGTGTATTGTTGCCAAGTTTCTGTTTCTTGTCGGCTCCAGCATGCAGTGAAGGTGTCCGGCTTCCTGACTGGAACGGACACCCTCCCATGATGCTCCGTCAGAGCAACAAGTAAGGAAGGATAACAATATATGGATGAACAACTTCTTTATTGCTGTGAGAGCGACGTTTCGGTGAAGGTTCTAACACCGTTATCAAGCAAGTGATCAACAGGTTCTAACACCGTTATCAAGCAAGTGATGAACACCGTTATCAAGCAAGTGATGAACAGGTTCTAACACCGTTAACAGCTGTTCATCACTTGCTTGATAACGGTGTTAGAACCTTCACCGAAACGTAGCTCTCACAGCAATAAAGAAGTTGTTCATCCATATATTGTTATCCATCCTTACTGCTCCAACTTCTAAATGCCTCTCAAAGAAGTAAGAGCAACAAGTAGATTAGTGTAAATCTACATGACAACCAAACAGTGATTTTATGTGGCTGTTTCCATGAAACACATTTATTTCAAGTTTGATATTGGACCGAGAGTATAAAAACTGTTCATGTGTCTTTAGAATGAAATTATCCTTTATAACTTTTCAGCATCAATACATGTTAAGATGTTTAAGAGACAGTCAAGGCATACCATGCTTCCGATTATACATGTTATAACATAGATGTTATAAGTTGCTCTGTAATGCAACCTATTTGTGTACACATTTACGTGTTACACCAACCATATAATCGTTGGACGCGCCTTATGTCCTTTTTTATAAAGATTTACTACTACTACTATTACTACTACTACTACTACTACTACTACTACTACTACTACTACTACTACTGCTGCTACTACTACTGCTACTACTACTACTACTACTACTACTTACTACTACTACTGTTGCTGCTGCTGCTACTACTACTACTACTACTACTACTACTACTACTACTATTCGACCACTGCTATACTACTATTAGTTTTATATTACTGCTACTGCTACTGCGCTAGGATAAGCGCAGACAGGGGAGTTTACTTGATCTACGCCACTGAGGGATCTTGTGCCCACGACCAACAACATTGTAATGTATTTACGAGACGATAATGTCTCCGTCGATGTATGCTTCGGTCTACTGTCGAACGGCGAATTGTATATAATGAGTTTCTGTGTTACCAACTTAACATGTTGTTTTTGAGAATGGAGAACCCGATCAACTTACAAGATAAACAGTATGCTGTAACAACTCATTGAACAAAGTACCAGTGAAGGTCCGGGTTAGAATGTTAGATTGAACCTTCAGTAACCCATGCTTGTCGTAAGAGGCGACTAACGGGATCGTGTACCGGTGGTCAGGCTCGCTGGCTTGGTTGACACATGTCATCGGTTCCCAATTGCGTAGATCGATGCTCATGCTGTTGACCACTGGATTGTCTGGTCCAAACTGGATTATTTACAGACCGCCATATAGCTGGAATATTGCTGAGTGCGGCGTAAAAGTAAACTTACTCACTCACTAACTCACTGGACAAAGTGACATGGCCACATCGAAGTAGGGTTCACCTCACTTTTCTCAAGTTACATCACTCCACAAGAAAAGACCATTTTGTGATAAAATGTTTTATTTTAAAATGTATTATATACATGAATACTTAGATAACTTCTATCAAAGCATGAAAGAGTACATATGAAATTCAGGCTACTCGTTATGGAATACATAGACACAAGTCAGTGCCGTGTCTCCCAAGTTAATGGGTAGGTATGATTATACCTGTACATCGTTTTCAAACAATGTCCATAGCACTATCGTTGATGTTGTTGGTGAAGCATCTCAACAAAGGCATTCACTTCGACATCCCGAAAAAAGACATATTCAGAGCAGCTCCTGTGAACGTTGGATAGAACTGAGGAGAGGAATAATTATACAAATTCTGAATAGCACTGGAGTTCGGTGATTCTGGGATGTATGTCCCTGGCAGAGGCGGGTTTCTCGACTGGACAGAGGGCATCTGTGGCATATAGGCCGTTTGATGTCCTGGGGGAGTGCTGGAGAGAGGGGAGCCGGTCAGGGAGCTGTTGATGCTGCTGGCGTTGTAGTAGCCGGATGATGGAGAGTAGAGTGAAGGAGATCCCATAGTCCAGGTACTGGGGTCAGTCCTGCTTGTGCTGGGGTGTGTCTGGGCCAGTCCCTGGGGTAAGGGGGAAAGAGATAGGGGGTTGAAGCCTGGGTAGGGGGACTGACCCCGGTAAAGACCAAGCTTTCCATATGCTGTGAACCGCTCAATCAGCGCGTCGTCTTGTCGTTGTTTGTGTCCTGACTTGAAACGTTTAGCACGACGAAGGAAACTACCGTTACCGAACATGTCCCCACAAGATGGATGCAGAGCCCACAGGTTACCCTTGCCTGGTTTGCCTGGAGGTCGGGGCACCTTGACGAAACAATCATTGAGGGACAGGTTGTGTCTGATGGAGTTCTGCCATCTCCGTTGGTTGTCTTGGTAGTAGGGAAATCTCTTGATGATGTAGTTGTAGATGTCGTTGAGAGTCATCATGCCTGTAGTGGAACTCTCGACGGCCATGGTGATGAGAGCCACGTATGAATAGGGAGGCTTCTTGTTGGAAAATTGTCTGTCTTGTTGGGTTTGAGTTGACGTTCCTGGGACATCATCAATGTGTACATCGTCATTGCCGTCCTTGTCTGTGCATGGTGACGGTGACGGCAGAAGGTCTCCGCCAGGGGAGTCTGTCTCTTCTCGGTATGTGGCTCTAAGAAACATGTCTATTCCCTTTGGCGTTCCAAGAGGCGCAGTGGACTCCGGTGTTGCCGGCGCAATCGTAAATGTTTGAGGCCCCATGTACGGAGGTGTCTCGAGCTGCATCACGGCCTCGCCAGTCACGCTGCCGTACGGAGATAACAGTGTATGATTCAACATGGTCACGGTGATGTAGCAGTGAAGGTACAGTGTTGTATACCGTCGTCACCCCGTCCATGGGTTTATATTCCCCGCCGAGATTATCCCCTCAATGCAGTTTGTTTTGTCTCTTGATTAGTCAGCCATTGTTGGGTAATTTGGAATGGGTCGTGTATTATACAACAGGCACGTCTTTAATTGGTCGTTCATTCCTAGTGGCCGGCTCATCTGCAGCTACGCCCACCATTGTCCATTCTATTAGGCCGCCCCAGTTTTAGATAGGTCAGGGAATTTGGGTCGTTTTATTCAGTTTTATTATTGTATTTCTTCATGCATATCCCAAAGCCGATTTTAGTCTGTAAAGTGAAAAAGAAAATGCAATCAGAAACGTAGATAATGCTATACTGTCTCACAAACATATTAGTCTTGAAGGTCACACATACATGCTGATAGATATAGTGTACAACGGTAGCAGTCCTATAATGTTGGTGATGTATTAAAGTACACGCGAAGCTGGTGCACTAAATAGCTTATTTGGCATGAACCACTTAAAGATGAAAAATAATGATAGAATACTTTGCATGTTCGCGATCGTATATACAAAATGCATCCAAGGTATCAATTGAAGCAGTAGTACACCTAGGGTATCCAAGCGTTGTATCCGCCGTGTTGGTAAGGGAAATCTTTGCTCTTGTCACACAGTCTTGCGGAGATGTTTTTGTCACTCTCACACATACTCTTTGAGAAAAGATTTGAGCACGATTCTTATTTTGTAAACAATCTAAAAAGCGAAAATACATCAACGTACACTTGTGTTTGTAGGGGTAGGTTTGAAGCTGAAGTGCAAATATACTCCCCATCAAAAGTTTAGACTCACTAGTGTAAATGTAGCCATTTACTTAAGTCAACTGTCAACTGTTCTAAAATTAATTTTGCAAAATGTTCCATACTGTTTAAAGGTATTGTTTACACATGAACTGATGTATTGTAAAACAAATTTGAAGCTTTGAAAATATTATTGTCATGAGTTCAATAAATGATGAAAATTGACGAATTCGTAACAAAACTTTACACCAAAACGCAGCTGTTCACGTGCATGATATTTGCTCATGCTTTACAGCAATTTGATGCATGATCCTCGTGCAGTACATCTGCATAAGGTTTTCAGTTGGTTCCCCAAGTTAGTGGAGAAATTCATCGTCGATGTGACCATACATATATACATAACATATAGTGAGTGCTTTAAGTGAGTCTAAACTTTTGATGGGTAGTATATTAAACAATGATATTTCCAAATAATGGTTTTACATATTAGAACTGGATGGCTCAAACTGGGACACTTAAGTGAATAACTATCCCCACACAAACCGGCCACTGGTAAATCCCTCTCAACCAAACACTCATAACAAATTTCAAGCACGTCAACCCAATTTAATATCCTATTTCAATCCCATTTTCGTCACTACTTATACCCAAAGATACCGTTTTAACGTGTCATTTCCCCCCATAACCGAAAATATTTAAAGTTTGGAAACAATATATAGCCTTAGGTCTTTTCTAGATGTACACTATTCTTCTTAATATAGTTAGTTACTGTATGTATCAGTTGTAATGTATTTGTTCTGATTATTATGTAGGAAACAGAGAACAGGTAACTTTTGTTGGGCGGAACTGAGATTCAGATAACATGAGGTTCGGGGTAAGTGGAAGCTGTGTGTAGATATGGCGGTTCGGGGTAAGTGGAAGCTGTGTGTAGATATGACGGTTCGGGGTAAGTGGAAGCTGTGTGTAGATATGACGGATAACATGATAAGCGCTTAACCAGATCTGTGATATATCATGTACGATATGTTCTTGCACGTTCATGACACAGCCTTCATCCGGGTAACTCCTGGCTGTTACTGTGGGTGCCACCGAAGACACTAATAAAACAATACATGTAACACCTCAACAGTGAGATCCCTGCACCACTATTCATTGTGATCTGACTGCAAGATGTACATCACACCCTAATCAATATACCTACCCACTGGCTGCGACGTACCCCCCGGACTCTCACCCCCTGGGGATGATTGACCAATATGTCACTCAAGGATCAACTTTGTTAAACATGTCAGTTTTAACTACTAGAATAAATATTAACTATTCCAAATTGACGATTGAAAGGTGTACAACAAAGTCGAAAATTGCTGCTCTGTATTTGTCAGTAATTGGAAATGATGACAATACTAGCACGATATGCGAACTGTATTGTTCATCAAAATACAGGAATGTCTTAAATCACCATTAATGGAAAGACAATAGCAATCCATTAAGTCAGCAAATATCATTATATGTTTGAATGGAGGATATGTAGACGTGACAGACTATGGAATTGGTTTTATTATCAGGACGAATAAGAAAACACACGCACGCACGCACGCACATACACACTGTGTTGGGTTATCCGCGGATTAGGAGTATTCACCTTAATAATATACATGTGACACGAGCAGTTGTATCTGATTACCGTTCATGGTTTCATGATGGCGTTATTGGTATCACAACACAGCAACACCAAACTTATCGGTTGTTCGTATCGATGATCGCAGAAATATCATTCACTCTGTGTCAATTTAGCTTCATACTGTTCATAGTGTGATTTTAGAAATGATGTCTGCTACAACAACAAATCCAAATAGATAGCGAGCGGTTGGATTTCACCCTATTTTCAACCTGCGAAAGGCTGTTGAACAAGAACACAATGATGACTGCTGGGGCTATTACTCACACGTAGCAGTGAAATATTGCAAACACACAGAAATTGTTGGACAGTGATACTCTTTTCTCAACATGGAGTTATGCCACTTTAACGACTCTAAGTTAGGGACATGGTACTATAGTGTAACTGTGAATGAGTGAGTGAGTTTTCAGCAATATGACGGTTGCGAACACCAGAAATGGCCTTCTACATTATACACACCTTTGTCGTGACGAGCTAAACAGCTTGGCCACCCTAGAGGCCGCAATGAATGAATGATTGAATTTGTTCTCCATGGCGTTTTGACATTACCCAAAGCAAAGACCTGAAGTGTTATGCATGTCTGAATATGTTTTAATGTTAATTATGTGAATAGATACGTTTACAAATACGCAAAAAATACAAAAAATCCCTCTTATCAATTTTGTATCAAGTTACAAATCGTGTTTTCTGCGTCAAGCGAGTGTTCAAGATGAGAACAATAAATACTCTGCCATTTCAATCCATTCATGAATTCATGATGCATGAAAACAAAGTTACGAAGGGCTGTCAAAAAGTAGTGTGTCTCACCAAGAAAATGATACAAATGCAGCTGTTTTTATGTTTTATTTTTCTACATATTATCTGTCAAGGAAATTGGTTTTGCTGTGTTCCAGCCTCACGATCCCCATTGTATTTCACTTTTTATATTGGTACCCCCATAAACGCAAAATCTGCAATAAATGCATCCCAAACTTCAGGAAACAAAATATGCAAGAAACATTTTGTGTGTTTTGAGATAGGTAGAAGTCTGCTAGAATCAAACTTAGATATTAAAGTGCATAAAAAGCAACTTGAAACTACAATCGCTTGTCAAAGTGACAACCCCCACCCTTCACGTTTACCGAAACAGCTTGTTTTGGAGGCACTACCCACCCTCTTTCAGTTGACGTAATCATAAGACATAACTTATTTTAATGGTTTCACTTATTCAGACATAGTGTCAAGGTCACACAAGTGTCAGTGCTCAATATATTGTAAACAGTGACAGCTTGAATATCTGGACACAATGTTTTTGGAAGACTAGAATGGAGGTGTCCTTAAAAAACATCCCCCTCTAAATATAAATCAAGCAATCCGAATCTTTGACGGGAAGTCATCCAATACTATACTGAACATATGATGGTATTTGAGAGCATACCATTATTCAAGAGGTACCAAATGACAGATCGTTTTTCATTTTCTGCAATTATTTTACACATATTATACCCCAATGTCTTGTGATGACTAATATGTCGTTAACCACAGTATTCCTACATCGGGCAGCCAGATTCTTCTTAGCCGTCGCTAGAAAAACTCCAAATTTAGCAGTTCGTGGCGAAATGGGCTGGGTTTCTCAGTATACCAAACAAAAAATTGAGGTTCTTCGTCTTTGGCGTAAACTTCAGTTACTTGAATTTAGCAGAATACCCAGCGTTATTAGCAGATGGTCATTTAATTGGAGGAGATCTTGGTATAGTGGAGCTCATAAATTATTTATTAGTTTTCATTTACCTATAAATGATCTGTTTAGTATTTCACATGAGGAGTTTGTTGCGGCTAAAGAACACCTTAAGGCACTAGACAGTTTTGATTGGTTTTCTGGGCTCTGGAATGATAAAGGGCAGGACAACGGAAATAAATTACGTACTTATCGTCTTTTAAAAGATTTTTTACAAGTTGAACATTATGTTGAAACAATTCTACCTAGGTCACATCGTAGTATCTTGAGCAAATTCCGTTGTGGCACTTTGCCATTAGAGGTAAAATTGGGTAGATATTCTCGTCCGAAGTCTCCCCTTCATGAAAGGGTGTGTACTCGCTGTAGTAGCAATGCCGTTGAAGATGAATTACATTTTCTGGTTAACTGTGATTATTATTCAGATCTCAGATATAATCTTTGGAAGGAAATAACCAGTGTCCATCCTACATTCTCCTCTATGTCAGCAGTAGATAAAATGGTATTCTTACTTACAAATAACCAGTTCGTAAAACACCTTGCCGCACTCGTCCATACTATGTTTAGGCGCCGGAATATTTCTGTAGAATAGGTAACTCTACAATGTACTTATAATAATAACGTCAACGTGTTTGTTATTTATGTAATTTATGCATTTTAGGTAAGAAAGTGTAAGTGTGTGTGCGTGCGTGCGCGTGTATGTGGGCCTGTCTGTCGTAGGTGTCTGTCTGTAGGCTCGTGCGCTCGTGTGTGTGTGTGTATGTGTATGTGTGCGTGCGTGTGGGTGTGTGAAGGTGTATGCGTTTTGTGTTTGTGCATACAGTTCGGCCTGCGTGTGTGTATGTGTGGGTGTGATTTTATTACTAATGTTTTATACAACTGTGATATTTGTGTCTCATAGGCCTTATGGCTGGATGCTGCTTTTAAACTCTCGCAATAATGTACCGTCCTTTCTAATGTTCTGCAGCATGTGACACATTAATAAACTATATTTCTTCTCTTCTTCTTCTTCTTCTTCTGTAATTTCGGATATGGCTTTGCTAATGATTCCTTCATAACGAAATGGAAGCTTTTCAAACATTGGACATAGAGAATATAGTTAGGCTCATTACGGGTTGATAGCCCCTCGTATGATCAAAATAATGAAAGGTTCACTTAGTAAACCTCAATCTAGAATGGCGATCTAACTAACATGTGACCTGACTATCAGTTTGTCAGCGAACTTGACGGACAGCGTATGGCGATGAAGATACCAGACAGACAGACTGTTTATTTGATCCTTCATACAGTAACTAAATATATAAATAGATATAGTTCATTAATAGGATGTATATAGGGTCATTCCATGCAGAATTACGAGTGATTTTACAGGTTGAACTGTACAAAGGATTTAAAATAGAATACAGTTTAAAACGAACACATATCATGAATTGTATAAACTGTTCTCCTTTTACTAAAGATAAAATGACAGGTTTTGGCAGCTAATTATAAAGTACATATTGCATAGTTTGATAAAATAAACGAATCTTTTGGAGCATCACATAGAGTGTAAAAATCCGGGCATATCACATGGCGCAATTGTAAAAGGTTACAACATTCAGCATTGTATACAGGACAGATAATTCAATATATGTATTTCGTCCTCAGTCGAAGTTGGACAATTAAAACACGTTCTTTCATTAAGTGGTACATTGTTATATCTACCAAGTTAAACATTGATGGGAGCAGTTCCACATCTAAATGTAGCAAGGGCACTTCTGTACAGGCGTGGTATATGGCGAGATCTGAGACTTGTTAATCTGATGTAAATACAGTAATATAACGATACACAACATTACTTTGTCACTCACTGAAATGAAATTGTAATTAAAACAGTACCGAATAGGCATAAGAGACACATCGCAAAACACATTAGTGAATATAAATAAAGAAACAAAGATACTAAGCTGTAATAGTACAATACTACACACTGTATATTGGTACCGTTAGTTCATGCAGCATGTTTCCACATAGAACAATATTACACCTTGTGGAACATGTGAAATGTTGTCATACATAACAAAATACCTACGTTGTGTAAATGGTAGGTACAATACCTCGGTAAGTTGGAAAATGTTAATTCACCTCACATAAGCAAAGCGTAATTGTCCTTACATGGTTTTCTCAAACAATACGCCACACTATAGTCCGTTTGACTTCATTTGACACCGATGAATTGCTCACTAACACAAAATCTTATACATGCAACAAAATCAAACTTTGCACAGTCACATGAAATCGACAGACCAACTCTGATGATTTGTCTCATAATGTTGGACACCCGAATAAACAAGTTGTTTAACAAACGATCATTATTTTGTTGTCACTTTTCGCTGTTTCTTACGAGGGATAACCACTTGCTAGTAGAACAGCCAGGTAACCAACAAGCGTGTGCAGTGAAATTTCAATTCCACACGTACAACTCGCACACCTGGCTGGTAACCAACAAGCGTGTGCAGTGAAATTTCAATTTCACACGTACAACTCGCACACCTGGCTGTTCTACCAGCAAGTGGTCTCCCCTCGTAAGAAACAGCGAACAACAAAATAATGATCGTTTGTTAAACAACTTTTTTATTCGGGTGTCCAAAATTATGAGACAAATAATCAGAGTTGGTCTGTCGATTTCATGTGACTGTGCAAAGTTTGATTTTGTTGCATGTATAAGATTTTGTGTTAGTGAGCAATTCATCGGTCTCAAATGAAGTCAAACCGACTGTAATTGAAACAAATCTTATTGTACAAAATCCAATACGCATAAGGTGATGCCCGGTTATTTACGGAATGAAATAATTTAACATACTAAATGAGAAAGTAATGCAAAAATATTGCATCTGTCACGTGATAAGCATCATCGTGACAACGCCAACTTAGAGTAGGACATGCTTACTCTTTTCCCGAACACCGGGTGTCACCACTTATGAGATCCATTCAAGTAATGTTCACAACTACTTTGCCTTTAACGCTCAGAGGCGAGGCTGATTATCATCTGTCGTTGAATTTGTATATTTACCAGAAACGATGACACTTATTTTGATTTCAATGGACTGAGAATCAAACATAATTATATAACACTGCCGCGGACCTAATCTGTGGCATGATTTACAGTGCGTCGAAGTGAACAAATATGTACTTGGTTCTGTACACACTAGCAATCAGATTACACCATCGATTATGTATTGGTGTCTCACTCTTCACATTCATGACATATACCACAGTGGTATGAAACATTTATTTGGTAAAAGGCTCCGTTTGGGGTTTAAGAGCCATTTGTCTATACGTTATTGAATACCATCCTTTGTTTGACAAATAATGTTTCTGGAGGTTCTCGTGGTTTAGTGACATTTATCTGTTATACAAAAGACACAAAAATAAACAAACAAACAAGGTAGGAGAGACTCATTAAATGAGTTGTTGGATTATAGAGACACCATCCGCTCTGTTTTACTTCACTTACTTTATGACGTCCAAACTATTTGACATATATCAATTATGTACACCGTTTAAGGTTGAGAACGTTGTCAGTACTGAATATCAGTTTTCGTTGATCTAAATCATTTATGCATGCTACAAGCCTATGACATAAAACATGTATGTCATACCACACTGACAGAAGTATGCCCATGCAAGAAGGTAGCAGGAAACCACATTCTTCTTTGTTTGCTGCTTAACACCTCAGTCAGAAATATTCCACCTAAATGACAACATCTGTACATAATCGAGTATGGACCAGGCACTCTAGTGATTGACATAATGATTTTCAACTGGGATCGACAACATGCATCAGCTAAATCAGAGAGATGATTACAGATTGTATGGAAGTTAACTTTGACTGTCACGTACACAGTCTGTAAATAGCCTCCCCATGACCAATTCCTTGATGAGCGATGACGAGCTGTACACACGATAACAGCACACATTTTCTTGTGAGAAATGCATTATAGGAAATCGTGCTGACAAAGTCAAAGCATCCACTTTCAAAGAAAATATGTAAAGGAGCCTAACTCGTGACGTCAATACGACTTACAAAGCACTTTGCAGGTACATACCTTCACAAAAGGTTGAATGACAAATATGTTGACGTAAACAAAACAAGTGAATAATTACTGTTCAATAAATCATGCTTTGTTCAGTCAAGTAACCAAAGTAAACTCAGGAGGTATGCCTTCAAACACAGTAACATCCGAGCTCGATATATTCCTAAAATCTCGTGTGTATTTTGTAAGGAAAAGTATCCTTGAATAAACAAGCAACATATATAACTCTGGAAATATACTGGACAGAAATAGTTAGGGATATATGTAAATTTTGAAATTGTGAATAATGATCTATTGATTCATGGACACACTGATAAAATATCAATCATAAAAAATTATCAATATCCCTCATTTATTTTGTCCAGTATATATGTTTATTAATAAATACCCGTAAATATATATTATATGTGACATTCCATATACTTGCATGATGTCATAGAGAGAAGAATCCAAGTCTTCCGTGTACAACTGTGTGATCCATATCTAAAAGTCATTGCACATAGCACTATTGAGTCCACTTGAGTCAAGTGTTCGATCACTGATCACAGTCTAATGCTGTACTGAGGCTGGGGTAAAGGTGGCCCCTGTACAACCGGGCTGAGAAGTGCTGTTGTAGAGCGAGATACGAAGTGTGGGTCTGGTCCGACAGGGCTGATGGCTTGTCTGTGCTGTATACCCGTTCGGGCCCTGAATGAGAGCTGGAGAGAGGGGAGCCGGTCAGGAGCTGTTGATGCTGCTGGCGTTGTAGTAGCCGGCTGGTGGAGAGTAGACTGTAGGAGATCCCATAGTCCAGGTACTAGGGTCGGGGTTGCCTGGTGTGCTGCAGGAGTGTGTCAGTCCTTGGGGTAAAGGGCCAAGATTAAGGGGGCTGAAACCTGGATAGGAAGATGGAGCCCTGTAAAGCCCAATCTGTCCGTACGGACTGACGTGGTGTAGAGTAGCGTTGTTGCAGTGTTGTTTTGGGGCCGACTTGAAACGTTTGGAACGACGAAGGAAACTACCGTTACCGAACATGTCTCCACAAGATGGATGCAGAGCCCACAGGTTACCCTTGCCTGGTTTGCCTGGAGGTCGGGGCACCTTGACGAAACAATCATTGAGGGACAGGTTGTGTCTGATGGAGTTCTGCCATCTCCGTTGGTTGTCTTGGTAGTAGGGAAATCTCTTGATGATGTAGTTGTAGATGTCGTTGAGAGTCATCATACCTGTAGTGGAACTCTCGACGGCCATGGTGATGAGAGCCACGTATGAATAGGGAGGCTTCTTGTTGGAAAATTGTCTGCTTTGCTGGGACAGAGTTGACGTTCCGGGGAAGTTGTCAAGGCTGAGATTGATATCACCGTCGTTGTCAGAAGATAACGAAGATGATGGTGATGGCAGGAGGCTGTCGTCATCGTGTACTGAAAGGTGATAATGGTCGCTGTGCGAAGTCTCCTTGAGTTTGTTATCCAATCCATTTCCTGAAAGAGGCGCTTGCTGAGGCCTGCGTTTTACTATCGACGAGTGAGATACAGGTGAAATGGGGGGACGTCGGAGACGACACCTGCTGCACCATAAAGGGGGGTGGTATCGTCTCCATTACAGTACATCTGGAAGGTGTTTAAACACTGAACAGCTGAACTCGCCATATTCACCCAAAGGAACAGGAAGGTACGCTTTAGTGTCGATACTATCCACAACTCTGGCATTTATAGCAAAACCGATTCATATTCCATAAGCGGACAAACTAGGAAACAATACAAGTAACATGCAGAAGAAGAAAGTCCAGTATGCGTTAATTAAACGCCTGCTGCCATTGACCGATCTCACTGTGCTTGTCTTTCTATTGTTGTAGGTGCGGGGATGTTCAGCTGCCCCAGATCGCCCGAGGTTTAGCTATTATACAAAGCAAACACTTATTATCTGTGTTGACTCAAACATTTCACGCTCGTTAACATCTACTTATGTGTGTAGGTTTAAACGATTTGTACAAAGACAACTAGAACCCAAGAAGTACTCTGTATGCCATTACAACTTGATTTAAACAGTATTTAATATGTAATACACAATAATGAATAATACATAAAGGATCAGTAAACAGACTGCATCAAGCCTAATTTTATAAATGCTTCTCCTAGACATAAACTTATAACGAATGAATTTTGTGGAAATACAGAAAATGAGCAGACAAATGCTTTCATAATTCAATAATTTCAGACTAAATACAGCATATGGAACCACACTTTATGAACAACGGTCGGTATCATTCAAGAAATTGTAAACAGACAACTTGATACTCAGCATTACTATAGATCAGTAGCGAGCAGTTTTAATGTGATGATAATAAAATACATTTATAGTTATATTTCATTTTTGAATATTGGTTTCGTTAAGATTCGCGACTGACAATGGTGCGACATAACAACAGCTTGTCTTAACAACATGGTGACTCAACAACGATGTGAGAAGACATGACCAAAGCTTGTTGCCTCCCGCCTGTAGACATAAGCTGGCCGAGTCGGCCTCTTTGATGTCGTCATGCAACTAACGAGATTAAATCAGCTCTGGATTAGGATTAGATTAGAATCCATGTCTTGATAATCTAATTGTAATTTCATTAGGAACAGATTATCACTTTAATTCATGAAAGAGAAAATATATATCAGTTTCCTGTTTGCTTGCGCCTCCTAATGCACCTTGGTCGGAACGTTTGTAGCAGTGACCAAGTCCATGCAAACATTCCTAAGTCCCCGACACTCGGCCTGGTCAGCGACTGTGTTCTGGCTTAAGGGGGCGACAGTGTTGGACTTGCTGCACGCGTCAATTGTCATAATCCTATTTCAAACGGAGCCAAAAGTATTTTATGTACCGGTTGGACATTTGAACTGAAACATAAAAGTTCAACTGAATGGGCATTTCACAAAATAAGTCATTGTGGAAATTAAACGCAACTGGATTACTGTCACATTACACACAGAAAACTATACAGAACTGACCTTTAAACATGTCATACTGGCCAAAATATAATTTCAAAGGAAACAATTCCCTGATTTGGTGATGAGGTAAATGTTATTCTCTGAGGTTGGGTTCATGGACAAACTAACGTAAGCCACGGAGGCTTCCAGGTTTGGATTGGGTTAGATGGTTGTAGCTTAGTGCTGGCAATTAGGTGTCTGACTCTGAGAGTGTGGGTTCGATTCTTGGATGGGACTCAACCTAACTAACGGACTAGAACTTGTACTTTACTGAGAAAGTATAATCCCAAATATAATCTATAATACATTTGTCCACTTTCCAAATGACCTTATGTGTTCATGGCCATAGTTCTGGTTGAAACTACTACATGCAAACACTATTTCCTCCTCCCAAATGTTGGCCTTGCACATTAAAAAACAGTTCACCAGAGTTTAACAGCGGTCAAAACAATTCTAATAATCAGTTATCACTGCCATGCATAATAACTTTATAAATCACACAGAAAACAATTGTCAAGTACAGTTGTGTACACGGACGCCGTTATATGTTATGGTTGCTAGTATAAAGGTGCGACGGCTGATTTATTCTGACGCTGGTTGGGCACCACAATCTAAGCGTAACTCCAGAATGTAATATTTGTTAATCTTCTCTGCACGGACAGCATGCATCCAGTGTTAATGATTCATCGTACCCTATGTACATCTGTGACACACAGAGCTGGACTCTTTGGGTGTCTTTGAAATTTAAATACAAACGACATGGACCTTGAGTTCAAATTTAGGTAAGAAATTTAAGAATATTCACGGTTTTATAATTAATAGTTCATTAAAGGACCGGTCACGCAGCAGTAGTTTTGTCCGAAGTCAGGCAACGAAGAAACACCTACTTCTTTCCAATTACTGTTTCCAATTCACGTAGTCGTTGCTGTGTTGCTATCAGATATACAAGTGCATTGCTTTATTCATACAGTAGTTACATGTACACTTGATTGCTATCAGAGTGAGTGAGTGAGTTTAGTTTTACGACGCTTTTAGCAATATTCAAGTCATATCTTTGCGAGGGACACCAGAAATGGACACATTTCACCCATGTGGGGAATCAAAACCGGGTCTTCGGCGTGACAAGCGGCACTTTAACCACTAGGCTACCCCACCGCCCCGATTGCTATTAGATACTGGTCACATCACTTATCAGTGAGACGCTTCTCGTGGGAGGCGAGTGTGGAGTGTTTCCATTTCATTTCATGTCACATAGGACATATAAAGTTGTGAACACACCAGAATCTTACTGAAGGGGAAGTGGCAGACAGACCTTGCATAGAGCCTTTTAACACTCATCATCATTTTGTCCATATTTGCAACGGTATTGGTAAAATCAATCATTTACCTTTCTGATTTGTTAATGCTCTTCTTGACCTGCATTTAATAATCTAAGTAAAAGTCACAAAATAGCCTATCACTTTCAGACGTGGATTTTATTACGGGGGAAATGTATTCATGTCAACTTCTGTATTGTAAGGAACGCGACGTTGTAGAGCATATTGCTACTCTTTCATCAGGCGAATGAAATCTAGGAAGCAGAGAGTTATATATAGTGTACAATGAAAACAACAAAAGTGATAAGACAACAAAGGTGGACGCTTGTGAGGGAAGACAGTAGTTGATTGGCGCTGATTGGTAAATGTAATCATGGATCATTTTATTACAAGCAAACAGAGTACTTGGGTCATACGGTCTATCCAGAATTTGTTGGAATATATATATTACGATTATCAATGTGGTCTATTCCTTCAATGTTGAACCTTTTGAGTATCTCCCTACCACCAGCGGAGAGGTTAATAAGATGTTGTGATTTTGTTAGTGATGAAAATAACTTTTAAATGAAGATTTGCGGTGTGACATATTTTGTGCAAATTTTATTGCTCAAGATTCAGAATGAAAACAAAATCCCACTCAATAAATTCAAGAGTTTTACAAAAATTGTTTACATCAGGGCTTTTAAAATGTTTAAGTTATCATCATGTTACATTTATCCCTGAGGATAAATATGTTTTATTGTCAGAGATCCTTTTATGTGTTAAAACATGTTATTATCTTTTTATGTCTGTCATAATTCTGTTTTGAATGGTTCTGTACATTTTTTCAATAAATGAATTGTATGCAAAAACGTATGTGTATTTTATCTTTGTACAGAAGCGAGACGTTAATAAATTTTATCCCTCTCTCGCCTTTTTTTCCTTCGTTGCCACACCAAGGCGTTTGTCTGGCTGGATACACTTCATAGTCTTCTTATGTGTTATTGTCCTACTACTACTACTACTACTACTACTACTCCTACTACTACTACTACTACTACTACTACTACTACTACTACTACTACTACTACTAGTAGTAGTAGTAGTAGTAGTATACTGCTGCTGTCTTTATCCCTTAAAGCATCTTCGCTGCAGCGTGATGTACAGTCACTGATACCTTAGTTGTGGTATCAAGAATCACATACAAATATTTGAAATAATGATATTTTATTATTTTAGCCACACATAAACACATGTACAGGATCACATTCATTCGCTTTTATGAAGATGCTGAATGTGACATGGAAGATGGACCAGTGGTGTTAAAGAATAACATCATAGCACTTATGGATGCAAGTGGTACACAAAAACGTCTTAAATGTCAGATGATTAACAAAGTACTGTTCGTCAGCCAGTTTTCGCTTTGGTTACGGAATCGCTGACAGTATCATTTGTCTTGTTTTTTGGAAATGTCAAGGCTTGGTAAAGAGCTGGGTAAGTTGAAGGTGAGAAGTCAGGGAGAGAACCAGGGTATGGCATCTGTGACATGTAGGTCCAACCCAGGGGCGAACTTCCTGGGGGAGAGCCGGAGAGAGGGGAGCCGGTCAGGGAGCTGTTGATGCTGCTGGCGTTGTAGTAGCCGGCTGGTGGAGAGTAGACTGTAGGAGATCCCATAGTCCAGGTACTAGGGTCGGGGTTGCCTGGTGTGCTGCAGGAGTGTGTCAGTCCTTGGGGTAAAGGGCCAAGATTAAGGGGGCTGAAACCTGGATAGGAAGATGGAGCCCTGTAAAGCCCAATCTGTCCGTACGGACTGACGTGGTGTAGAGTAGCGTTGTTGCAGTGTTGTTTTTGGGCCGACTTGAAACGTTTGGAACGACGGAGGAAACTACCGTTACCGAACATGTCTCCACAAGATGGATGCAGAGCCCACAGGTTACCCTTGCCTGGTTTGCCTGGAGGTCGGGGCACCTTGACGAAACAATCATTGAGGGACAGGTTGTGTCTGATGGAGTTCTGCCATCTCCGTTGGTTGTCTTGGTAGTAGGGAAATCTCTTGATGATGTAGTTGTAGATGTCGTTGAGAGTCATCATACCTGTAGTGGAACTCTCGACGGCCATGGTGATGAGAGCCACGTATGAATAGGGAGGCTTCTTGTTGGAAAATTGTCGATTTTGTTGTGAGAGAGTTGACGTCCCGGAAGCATCAATGCCGACATGGTCGTTATCTGAACATGACGATGGTGATGATGTTTTACTGACGTCGTTGTCTGATGGGGTTGTCATGGCCCCAACATCTGGAGATAGCTGCAGATTACCTTGTACGACATCAACGGGGTGAGTTGATTCCTCGGGATTTGGAAAAGACATATGCGGCTCCGGACTTGAGTTTGGAGACAAGAAGGACAACATCTGCTGCATGGAAGAAAACGACGACATCATGTTGGATAATTTGTCAGTTTCTTGATTGCTGTAGTGGAAGACATCCATACCAGGAACACTTGAGTTGGAGACCGACATAGTGATGTCTGTTAACTGGTGTTTCTACTCTGTGAGATACCGAAGAGTTTGTGTGTTCCACAGGTATTTCCAATATTCTTATATACGTTACACATAATCCACTAAAACTACAACTCTCAGCTCAATAAAACCAATTAAACCAGCTATTGTCTGCTTAATTATACCTAATTGGCACATCAATCACAGAGAAGAGACTGATTAAAATACTGCCATCTGATTGGTTGCCGATGACGAGGCCTACCCTGTAATCCTACGAGCACGACTTTAAAGGTGTTTAGAGAAGGCGTTTTTACATGACTAGTTAAGATATACTTATGGAACATTTTCTTGTTTTCATTACCAATGTTCGAAATCTAGAAAAAACACCTCAATTCAAAAGTAAAATAATACTAATTTCTGGCAGATACACACCTGTTTCGTTGATACATGTACAAATAATTGCACAGTAAATACAATTCTAATTTGTGAATAAAAGAGGAAGCGTGAACGTATGTTTATTATATAATCTATTAGAAATATAAGTAAACCTCTGGATATAACTGTTGAATATAACACCCTCATTAAAGAACACTACTTGTTTTTGTTCAGGATATAAGATATGAATTCAATATTTCTAATTATGAGCAACATATACTCTTCAAACAAGTTGGGTATGCTTTAATCTTGTAGTATGTGTCGGTAGTCACAGGGTTGAAAATCCATCAGTTGTAACGTAGGTCTCCAAATGTTTAAGTTAAAAAAACCCTTTTAAAATGTTTCTCAAAAGCTCAATAAATGCATGTGTATAATCACGTACTTCATAAACGAATGCTTTGTTACCTCCGTGTCTCGTTGGGCGTGGCATACATGTGTCACATAGACATGGAATGTCATTTTGTGTACATTGACTTTTTGTATTGCATTGCTTTTTGTTTTATATGACGTCTTTTCTTTGCTACCAACTTGGTATGTGATGGTTGTATATTTGTGTTCTGTTTTGTGTTGTATTATTCATATCGCCGCCATATAGGTGGAACATTTGCGAGTACGGCGTGAAACAACACACATTATTCATGGCCACATGATTGCCTTTTTCGTAACATTTGCCTGTTACTGACAACTAGTGACCTCTGTTTCATGTTATGGAGCTAGAGACGTGGGGAGACACAACTAGTGACCTCTGTTTCATGTTATGGAGCTAGAGACGTGGGGAGACACAACTGAAGTATTACTGGTAACACAACCAAACGTACTTTGAACAACGCGTGATGTGTATGATGGGTACACGTCCTTGTAGAGCTGAAATAATGCTGATACATCAAATTTTAACTCGCCCTTCCATTTGTAAAGAATTTTAGTCGTTGATTTACTGGATAATTAAGTGGCATGTATAACTTAGATTTATAGTACTTGTGTTCCTATCAAAAGCACTAATACCCGTTTCTATCTGGGTTAAACGGTAACAATGTCATAACTTATGCTGAAAATTATTTGTTTCCAAATGAGTGGATTGAAACCATTACTAAAAAGTGATGGAATCCGCGGTAGAGAAACTCCGTATCGCACAAAAAACGGCTGAAGTAGGTGGTTACATAATGTAACCTGCATGATTGTGTTTCATGTGAGTGAGTTTAGTTTTACGCCGCACTCAGCAATATTCCAGCTACTAGTATATGGTGGCGGTCTTGAAATAATCGAGTCTGGACCAGACAATCCAGTGATCAACAGCATAAGCATCGAAATACGCAATTGGGAACCGATGACATGCGGCAACCATGTCAGCTGGCCAGACCACCCGATCCCGTTAGTCGACTCTTACGACAAGCATGGGTTACTGAAGATCAATATTCTAACCCGGATCTTCACGGGTCGTGATTCATGTGAAATGGTTATTGCTGACATAATTTGTCCGTTCATTCTGGTGTTCATGAAGCTCTCGTTATGCAAGAGCATTGAGGAGTAACACCTACCACATATTCACCTACTGCTCCATATCATCCAAATCCAAGCCACACGTGTTCCTTACGGACGCCACCCAATACTCTATAATTCAGCACGTTAATCATAATTAAGCCTTGTATGAAGAATACTAATTGTATATATATATATTGTAAATGTTATTTTTTTATCATGATTATTAATACGATGTAAAAATGTGAGCATGTGACTCACGTAAAAATACATTCGCGCCACTCAAAAGAGAGCCAGATAAATCAATATATAGAAGCACATGTAAAATCAGCGTGTGTACTCACCCCCAGCTTTCCCCTTTATACCCACTTTAACATTACAACAATGCTGCAGCCGATAAATACATATGCAATCATAAATATTAGAAGATAGGATATGAAAGGAAGCTGTAAGGTGAATTGTGACTGGAAAGTACATTGAGATTTGGACTGCATAATTACCAAACATTTTGTAAAGTTAAAACTTGAAGTAACTAAGGCGTGAGGGGTAGAAACTGACACAACCTCTTATCCACCCAGGGCCCTTTCTATGCTTGAAGGAAGCAGTAACTGCAACAAACTCGGCTGTCAGTAATGTGTATGTGTGTCAAGTTGTAATCGGTTAACCATTTATTTATAACATGCAGATATATTGTATGCAATAACGATCCATTTCCGTTTATACAATGTCTTTTTTCTTGACTATTTGGTTAAACACCAAATACATTACGTGGTGTTATTGCATAACCCAATATATTTATTATTGCCTTTATGTACAAATATATTCGCGGAAACAACTACCGTAAGTCACGTCATCCATGTCAAACACCACATACATTACGTGGTGTTATTGCATAACCCAATATATTTATTATTGCCTTTATGTACAAATATATTCGCGGAAACAACTACCGTAAGTCACGTCATCCATGTCAAACACCACATACATTACGTGGTGTTATTGCATAACCCAATATATTTATTATTGCCTTTATGTACAAATATATTTGCGGAAACAACTACCGTAAGTCACGTCATCTATGTCAAACACCACATACATTACGTGGTGTTATTGCATAACCCAATATATTTATTATTGCCTTTATGTACAAATATATTCGGGGAAACAACTACCGTAAGTCACGTCATCTATGTCAAACACCACATACATTACGTGGTGTTATTGCATAACCCAATATATTTATTATTGCCTTTATGTACAAATATATTTGCGGAAACAACTACCGTAAGTCACGTCATCCATGTCAAACACCACATACATTACGTGGTGTTATTGCATAACCCAATATATTTATTATTGCCTTTATGTACAAATATATTCGCGGAAACAACTACCGTAAGTCACGTCATCCATGTCAAACACCACATACATTACGTGGGGTTATTGGATAACCCAATATATTTATTATTGCCTTTATGTACAAATATATTCGCGGAAACAACTACCGTAAGTCACGTCATCCATGTCAAACACCACAGACATTACGAATATCTATATACTGCCTTTATACACAGTCAGGTATACTCAAGGAATCAACACCTCAGAAGAGAACCAATGTTAGTTTTAATAAAGAGCTCGAGAATTATTTCATTTTCAAATTTTTTTTTCACATGGCAATATCAACTTGATGATTATAATACATTGTGTATTTTTATAAACACGAATTTATGCAGTATTTTCAACCTCATATCGATAAATCGTGGGTCATCGTCACAATCGTCCTTGATATATCTGTTAATTCATCTGAATCTGTTTTAGGACCTTCAAGTAATGTTGAATTGCAATAAATTAATGCCTGTTTGATGAAGCTGTGATCCTATTTCGTGTACTTTACGGTAACTTTCAACCTGGATAACGGCGCGCGCAGCTGTCTGGAGCTGTCGGATGACCCACTCACTCACCCACCAGCATAAGTCGGTCTGTTTGATGTATCGCTGTAGTTAACAAGATTAATCAACGCTGGATCAGGAGCGCGTAACTTGATAATCTCATTGTGGTTTTATCAACGACAGATTATCGCCCGTATTTGTCCGAGGGAAAATATTGGTTCATTGCCCCACCGTCGTCCTTAATACACCAAAGGCGTGACAAACATCGTTAATCAACGCCGTTAGGGGGCTGTTGATGAAACTGATCATTTGGTCTTGAACTAATGAGGATGGAGACAAATTTGATATTGAACAGTGCGACTGGCGCCAGGCTAAAACCTAAGAAGACTGTACGTCCACCGACTTCGACGTCGGGACTTGGAGGCTTAGTTTTTCAGCTTGACTTTAGCGTTTGAACTCACCGACATCTTTATTGTTCGGGAATAATAATCGGTGGTTTTCTTCTTCAGGGTGTGTTTGTTAGGATGTGGGTGAGTGAGTGAGGTAAAAGTGTACATCACATAGGAAATACCACAGTCATATAGCGATACTGATATGTGGTTCCTGAACATTAAGAATTAGGCTATCAGCACTCAAGTCTGTGTATTGTCATTAGAATCAGAGCTCTCCCTCAGTGTCGCCGAGGAATGGGAAAAATATAACAAAATAGTTATTGTAATAGATTAAACAGTAGAATTACAAACACGCTCAGATTACTAGTATGCTTTTGAGAACAGCTATACATAATTCAATAAAAATAAAAGTCGCAGAACATTTTCCATATTTATAAGAACTTTCTGCTGAAGACAGAGCCGATTGCACGATTCCAACGATATTAATTAGCATGTGTTTGTGAATCTTTGTCATAGAGTGATTTTGATAGATGTCCACGAAAGGATCAGCGCATCCTGCCGCACCGTTTTCTCCCGCCACAAAGACAGGCAAAGGCAAGTCAATTGTTCACCTGGAAACAATGTGTATATCTATGTGTGGCACTGGCCAAAATATCAAATTGAATCATTCAGGTCACTGATGTGTCCAAAACTATATTTAAGACGAAAGGTCCTATAAGTCCATCAATGTTCCTACAAAACTATTTTTAAGACGTGAACTCCATACATCAACCAGGTAGGGAGACTCCTTGCATCAACCAGTATCGATGCATTCAGTCGGATACACACA